CCTAATTTTAAATAAATGCAGATAAAGGGCTACATATAATGTGTTAGAGCATCTTTCTTGAGAAACTTCTAAAAGGAAAAAATAAAAGATGTAATTATACTCACACCACCAGCAAAACCTCTGGTCACCTGTTTTGGGTTGTGAAATGCCCCCAGCAGCCGAGAGACCTATATTAATATCAACAAAGAAATGTCATGCACAGAATTAAACCACATGCATTAAGGGCAGAGATGAAGTCATTTCTAACAGCTGCGAATGCTGCAAGTTTGCAGAGATATTCAGGAACTTCCAAGTAATACTTTCTCATATATTCAATGCGGCAAGCTACCTCAGATCTGAAAATCTAGATACAGCATTCAGATTACCTTTTGCTTTGAGAACTTAAGTACTATATACTACTCCAAAGGCAATTTTATGAATGTACTTGTCAAAAGACCTTGAAGGTAGAAAGAAACTATACTTTCTCAAGTCAAACAATGGATTTTCCTCATAAGATACCTTGGAGGTACCTCCTGCTCCAATCTCTAAAGGGGAGAAAGTGGCTCCACAGAGGTCAGTGGACTGTCAAAGTTCCCACAGGAAGTCCATGCCAGAGGAGAACCTCCCTCGTCTTCTGATTCCACACCCCAACAGGCTCTCATGTGTGTTTTTTTTCTTGTAGGCCACACAAACTGACTGGCAAACTGAAGGCAAAACAAACTGACTAGTGCTTTGATTATCAACAGTGGTGCTTAGTCCCTCCTCTCAGTACCTACCACAGTTGAATGAGGTGCTAAGAGTGTAAGCTCAGTGATTAAGGGAATGACTTCTGTTGAGACAGAGTCACAGAAGCTGCTTCCCCTTCAGGAGCAAATGTGACATCACAGTCACCGTCACACACAAATCCAGGTCCGAAGAGGTACCAAGCAGAACCCAGTTACGGAATAAAACCGTTAGTGATGTCCGAGAAACTTGGTCTGTGTGATGACTGCAAAATAAATCCTCTGATAATCCCTTAGGAAAGCTTCAGGCATGTGTTCCTTCTGCAGGAACCAGGTGACTTCACATTTCTTTTATTTAAGCCCCAAACAATGCCGTGAAGCAAGTATGGCTATTTTACACATGGACATATTAAGGCTCAGAGATGTAAAGTAACTTGTTCAGGGTCACACAGCCACTTAGTTGCACCATCAGGATTTAAACCTAAGACTCCTACATTCCAATGTAGACCTTTCTCCACCAAATAACAGAGCATGTAGACCTCACTTTAAACTTAAAAAAAAAAAGGAAAGAGTGTCAAAATCTACAGGCAAAAGAATTAAGATTTTTATGGTAGATTTCTAGGGGACTTTTCTTGACCAGCACCAGAAAACCTGAGAGCCTGATTTCTCCTCCTGTGCCTATAATCTGTGGTGTGACCTTGGTCCCAGAGCAGGCAGAACGGGACTAAGAACCAGGAACATCCACCCAGTCCTCTGGGTTCCTCTCGGTCTGACACCGACTTCCTGCGTAACCTTGAGGATGACCTCTAAGGGCGCGAGTGAGCGCCACCCAGAAACCAAGAAGCCGCAGAGACCGAGCCCTGCCGAGCCCTCGCATCCCAGCTGTCAGGATCGCGGAAGCACTCCAGACCGCAGATCCTCACCGTAAAGGTGGAAGAGCTGCTGGTTTTCCTCTACGAGGGCTCAGATGGCAATTCTAAGGTGTAAGGTGTCCGTGTCCTTCCAAGGGGGCAGAGCCGCAGGGGCAGACCGGCGAGAGCTGGGCAGAGGCGGGGGAACCTGGCAGGAAGCAGCCTGGGGTCACCCACGGAACCTCGCCTGCCCAGAGTGCGCGGCCCGCGAAGGAACCCGGCCCGGCCAAACGGACCCGAGGAGGCCCAGCAGTCAGCGCGAAGCGGGTCGGATCTCGGACCGTCCAGATCCGCGCGGGGCCTGGGCTCCGGCCTGGGGTACCACGGGGAGCAGGGCCGCGCGACCCCTCGTCCTTGTCATCCCCGTCCAGCGCGGCCCTCCGGATGCGGGCTGCTCACACGCCACGCGTGGGTCACCTCCGCATCAAGCCCGCCGGATCCACGCTGCCGCCGCCCTCCCGGCACTCACCTTGGACATCCACGCGGGACCCGCCATCGCGTCTCTCTCTTCACCGCGGCGACAGAGCAACTCTACTGCGCAGTCGCGAAGCCCCGCGCCCGTTCACGCTCCAGGGAGGCCCCGCCCCCTAGAAGCCCCGCCCCAGAGCCCACCCAGGGAATTCTTGCCTCTCCTCCGCCTTCCAGAATACGCACCGCCTTCACTGGCCAATCGCGGGGCTCATCTCGTGGTGACGTAAGCAGCCAGGACCCGGAAGCTGCGCGGTTTGGCTCTCCCAGGCTTCTCCAGCTCCTCCATTCATTGACTCACCGTTTAGGTAGGATTGTGGCTCTGAGACTTCCAGTAACTAGTCACTTCTTACTATCTGTCTTTTTTATTATAACCATCCTTCTTAGAGTGGGTGAAGTGGTATCTCACTGGGACTTTGATTTGCATTTTCCTGAAGGCCAACGTAAATAAAGCCTTTCTTGTCCATTCTATTTTAAATGGCAATCCCTCTCCTCCCTAGTGTCTATGCCCCTTCGCTGATTTATTTTTCTGTAGCACTTATCTCGCTGACATACCACGAATATTTCACCTATTTATTTGTTTACTGTTTGTCTCCTCCCCAGGGATAAATTCCAAAAGGGCAGGATTTTTGTCCCGTGGTTCACTGTATTCTCAACGCCTGTAGAAGCGGTAACAAAGTGTCCCCCTGCGCTAGTCAGGGCCCAGATTTAAACCCACCGATTACCAGCTGTGTGACCGTGGGCAAGTCACCTTCTCTGAGACGATTTCTTCATCTGTGAAATATGATTATGACACCAAGCTCTATAGACTTAAGAGGCGTTTGTGGAATAATTTCCAGTAAATGGGCACAGAGCAGATAATCAATGCCACTTTCCCTCCATCCACGATCCCCGTGAACAAATACACTGTCTTTCTGGGGACCACACCCAACATCTGGGAGCCACAGGAGCACGTGACTTGGAATCAGAATGAGGTTGAGTCTTGCTTTGCTACTTTGTAGTTGGGTGGTGCTGGGCAAGTCACTTTTCCTCTCATCCGTAACATGGGAACTCCTCACAGCATTGTTGTATTAGTTCAAGAGAGCCTCATTCAGGGCACTAGCAATGATAGGGGACTTAAGAGTTGGAAAATTTTATTTTAAGTAATAGCTAATAAGCTTAGTAATCAATGCACAAATGCACAATGAACAAAGCAAAGCTTTGTTCCAGGAACTGAAAGTGTGACCTGCCCTGACTCCAGGAGACCATAAGCAGTTCCACCTTTGTTCCTCCAGAGGACTCCAAGCAATTCAAGATGATATCTGAGCCATTGTACTCCAGGGTGAGATGCCACAGCCCAGGACACAGCTAAAGACCACCGCCTGGGGCATAGCTTAAGACCGCTGCCCAGGACAAGAACATTGAAGTGTTGTTTTTTTTTCTAATCCAATTAACATTTCCCAGAATTTCAAAACCCCTCACCACACCTTGCTTATTCCCTGCTACAAAAACCTTGGCCTGGAAAGAAAAGACAAGATGGTATGAACTGGCCATCTTCTCAGATCACCAGCCATCTGAACAAAGTGCCCATAAAGATTCAATCCCTGTCCCTGCTTACTGGGTTTGGTAGTGACAGGCAGCCCGAACTCTGGTGTCTTTTCCGGTTTCAGCAATAGCAATCAAAAGGGATTTCTTATGGGAATTTTCTAGTCAGGGTGGTGCTTTTATTTTTCACCTGTGGGAGGAGGGACTCCAGAAATGAAAACTCAGTCTTCTGCAGAAGTTCTAGCTTTTCAACCTGGAAGGCTGCAATTCAAGTGAACAGAGATTAACAATCGTAAGAGAACGTGCCAGAGCAGGTTCTGAACACAGAATACTGGCCTGTTCATGAGGAAGAAGGGGAACCTTTGTAAAAGTGATTGTGTGGTTTGGAGAAGTTTCAATTTCTCCAGCTCTAACATGGGAGAAGGGGGAAGTGCAGATTGGGGGAATCTTATAAAAGCATGTCTCTGCTCTAAAAGTCCACATTCTCTGAATTCTTGGTCACATGTACTAACTTCTTTCCCATGTCTGAGGCCCCTATCCCACCTGTCCAATATAAAGAAAGGATGAGGACACAGCCTCTGAGTCCAGCCACTTTCTGCCCCTTCCCAACCATGGGCTCCTGGGAGAGTTACTGCACTACTCCAGTGCAGTGTCCTCGTTTGTGAGATGGAGATAATGCCTGTAGAATGGGCTGCCCTGCGGTTAGAAATAACTCCTGTGTGAGCTGGACCCCTAGAAGGCACTTGGCGGCTATGGCATTTGCATAAAAGCCACCGAAAATGCCCTGGCCTTTGTCACAGTCTGTGTCTGCACATAGTAAGTCTTTTAAATCGTATCAAGTCTCTAGCCTGTGTCCAAGGGCTCAAAGATACTCGAGCAAATCTCGTTCTCCCACCTAAGAGGCCCAGAGCCTGAGATGCCTCGCCCTGTTGCTAGTGGCACCTTAGGAGTAGGCCGCAATGACCCCTCCTTCTCCTCGAGGGACGGGCCGGAGAAAGGCCTGACCAAGGTCGCGTCCACAGGTCTGGGATACCCCGCCCCTTGGCCAGGGGAGCCAGGTCCCTCAACTTGTCCCCGTGTAGCTCTCGAAAGTATCTACCCTAGATCCCGAGCCGCACCCCTGCATCTCCGCCGCGGGAAGTGCCTGGGTCGCCACGCCGGCACCAGCGGGAGCAGGACTTAGCAGCAGAAGCATTTTTTCCCGGCCGGCGCCGCGTAGCGGAGCCACAGCGCCCTGCAGCCAGGGACCTGCATCTTTCTTCCGCCACGCCCCACTGCTCAGGCCCGCCCCTCTCGGGGACCACGCCCCGTTCAGCCCCGCCACGCCTCTCTACTCTGCCCCTCCCTCAAACCACGCCCCCACAGCTAGGCCCCGCCCCACCCTCGGGCCCCGCCCCGCCCCGACTACACCCCTCCAGTGGGCTGCGCGGCAGGATGCGTGCTGGGCTCGGCGTGCGCAGTGGGAGGTGGCGCCCGGCTGGCCGCGCGCATCATGGGGAACAAGCAGACCATCTTCACTGATGAGCAGCTGGACAACTACCAGGTGAGCCCGCGCCCCTGCTCGCGTGTTCCCGTCGCTGCCGGTTTTCCGAGTCACTCCTGGCCTCTGCCTTCACTCTGAGCATGACCTTGGGTGGGCCGCTGCTCCTCCGAGCCTCACCGGGACAGCGAGCCTCTGGAAAGCACAGCCGAGCTGCGTCCTACCTGGGTTGGGAGTCAGGTGCTTCAGCCCCCAAAGGCGGCTGCGGCTGTAAGTTGAGGTGTCTTGTCTAACCTGGGGAGTCTTCCTCTGGCCCAGCATGGAAATAATGGAACAAGGAGGCGACCCGTTACCAGCCTTACTTACCTGGTCACTCTGCCCCCACCTCCACCACCGAGCGCCCTACAGGCCCCCTGGACCCTTCCTCAGGAGGTCCCAGATGGGAGGCCGTGCTGCAGATGACGCCCACGCTCCTGGGTGCCTGCCCCTCCGGGTGGCTCTCGTCCTTCAGAGCCCTGTTGGGGTGACTCCCTCTGACTCCCTCAGGCAGAGGCCCTGACTGGGCTGTCACCTGTGTGCAGTGCACTTTGGGGACACGCCACCAGCAGGGTCTCCACAGCCGCCCTGCGTCGCCGTCAGGAATATGTATTTGGTGCTGGTCTTGAAAGGTGGGTCCTCTGCCTCCAGCAGCCCTAAAATGAAAGTGCCTCCCCCTGGGTGCCCTAGTGTGAATAACAGATTTCCCAGCTCCCCATGAGGACCTGACAAGGAATGGGGACCCACACGTTCCTTCAGCGTCTGTTGTGTATCAGGCACTATACTTCCTGCATTTACTTATTGTCAGCTCCTTCCATCCTGGGCCGGTGGATAATTGGCCCCATTTTACAGACGGGTAAACCAACCCATTCAAGACCCTGCTGTGGGTCTCACGGGAGAATCCAAATCATGAATCCCTGGTTCACTCTTTGTTGGGGGCGGTGGGGCTGTGTGTGTCCTTTGTCATCAGGAGAGACAGTCGCCTCCAGTGCGGCCTCACTGGAGGAAGTGTGTGCCAGGGGAGGGCGCTAGTGGGAGTGGGAAACCTGTAGGGGAAGGGGCTTTTGCTTTGCTGGAAGGTTCAGAAATAAGGCAGCCCTGCAGCAGGCCCATCAGGGCCAGCAGGAGGCGTTCCAGGTGGAGGGCGCAGCTTAGCTAAATGCATAGAGGTGAGCACAGGTCAGCAGGCAGACCAGGCTGAGGAGTGAAGAGTAGCCCTGTGGGGGCAGGGGCCTGGGTTCCCACTCAGACCAGCCTGGCATCGGGTTACCCTTTGCAGCCAGCCCCTGTGTTGGGTTCTGACCCTTTGCCAGAGCCTGGCTGGACCCTGCCGGGCTGCTGGGATGGGAGAAACGAGAGCTGTGAAACCTGAGAGCCTCACATGCCCCCCCCCCCAACACACACACACACCAACTCTCCAGGCAGCACCGGGCCAGCCTGGGGGTTGTGGGCAACCCTGAGTTATAGCTGCTCCCCAAGTGATCTGCAGGGTTTCGTGTCCTCCCGCCCCAGGTGCCAGTGATCCCTAAGGTTCAGGGTTCTTGCCAGACCACTTCTCTGCCTTGCAGATCCATCCCCCAGACCCCCTCAAGCTCCAGAGCATTGCTGGCTGCCTTCCCCAGACCCCAGGCTGCTCCTCCAGCTGATCAGTGAAGTATGTGTCCTGTAACTCAGCCTCCCTGGGGATCCCTCCCGTCTCCACCGCCAGGGCCCTGGCCAGGCCTCCTCAGTCTCATGCGGACTGAAGGGTCTAACTGTGCCGTTGCCCTCCCCTCCTTTCTGCCCCCTCCAGCCACCCACACCTTCTGCCACAACCCCTTGCTTTTCTCACCCCACCCCTTCCCTCCTTCCTTTCTCTTTCTTTCAGCAGACACTGAACACCACCCCTCTCACACAACTTTTTCCAAGGAGAAAGAGTTGCCGTTTGCTGAGCCTCAGGGCTCCCATCTCTGCCCAGGGAAACAGCACAGCCCCCCATAGGCTAGCAAGGAGGATGCAACAACACTGGATAGTCAGCTGGAGCTGGGCCGAGACAGAGAGATGAAGGGGGTGGCAGTCTTGGGGCACCTGGCCCCCTGGGTTCAGGCCCCTGAGAGCCCAGGGGGTCTCAGTGGTACTGAGTCAGAATCACAGATAACCATCAGGGGACCTCTCCCCTCCGCCCCCACCCTGCCCCCCAGCTGGGTCCTGTAGCTCCCTGGGGCACAGCCCTCCCACTCCCATGGACCGTGTGGTGTGGTCCTCAGCTTGGGCTGCACCCAGCAGCACCCGAGTGGCTTTGAAAACAGCTGATATCCCTCCCCTGTCCAGATGCTTCCAGTCACTCACTGCCACCATCTTCTCCCCACCAACCCCGCACCAGCCTCTCCACTGCCTCCCTGATGTGACCTTGTTGATTTCTGTGGCTTTGCTGCCAGGAAGGTGCTCCTCCCCTCCCCCCCAGTCTGCGTGCCTGGGACTCTGGGTCTCCAAGCATGAGGTTCCCTTCTCTGAGGCTGTGCCGTGGTGGAGGCCACCTCCCAGCCACTGCCCCTCCGACCCCTTAAGTGCTCTCCCTCACAGCCCTTGTCCCTGCACCCAGTCCCCTGGGTCAGGTCCAGAGCTTCAGGCGGTTTCTGGACCCAGGAGACTGCTGTCCCCAGTGGGCTGGGTGGCCGTGAATGTTCCGGCCCCAGCACTGTCGAGGGCCGCCCGTGTGGGTGGTCTGAGGAAGGAGGAGGAGCTGGGACTGCCCAACTGACTGTGCGTGTTCTCTCTACAGGACTGCACGTTCTTCAATAAGAATGACATCCTCAAGTAAGTGTGGTTCTGCTCGCCCCTCCGAGTGGGAGGGGCGGGGCCTGGGGGCGGGGAGGGGCCTGGGACCCCAGCGGGCTGGCCCCGCGGGTTGAGCTGAGGAAGAGCACTGTCTCTGTCGGCAGCCGGAACCTCCTGCCCCTCCTGGACCCAGATTTTTCTGCCAGGCATTGAACATCTGCTGGTCGTGTACCCGGCTGTGTGGTGGGTGGTCTCGGGCACATTTTCATGTGATCTTCACTGTCACCTTGTAGCGGGAGAATCCGACTTCATGCCCCGTGTGGCCGGCGTCACGTAGCTAGGGACTGAAGACGTGGCCTCGGACTCCAGGCCCCTTGCTAATTCCCTGAGTCCTGGGGCCTCTCAGACGAGGGGTCCCTGTTGGTCAGACCGGGGTCCCCTCAGGGCCCTCCTGCTCGGCTCTGATGACCTCTGACCCCTGGGAGCCTGAAAGTTCTGCGATGCCCCCACTGCCCTTGGCTGTCCACTAAGCGTGTCTTCCTTTCCCAGGATACCCTGGGCATTCCTTGGGGGTTGGGGAGCTGGGCCGAGACAGAGATGAAGGGGGTGGCAGTCTCAGGGCTCCAGGACCAGATGGCGAGCAGGGCGCACAGAACACCAGGAAACCTGGCCCCCTGCCTGGGCTATCGGGTGGCACTGAGAGCCTCAAGGGCTGGGGATCACTTTCCCTGCAGGTCGGCGGGCGGGCTGGGGCGGGAGCCACTGGTGGCTTCCCCAGAGGGCTGTGGGGGCCACGGCCCCGACCCCTCGGCTCAGACAGGCCGCTCTTCCTGCCTGCCTGCTTGGTGGGCAGGGACACCCCACCACCCCCCCTGCCTCGGCATCAGCACTCCTGGGCTCTGCTGCCACCTCCCAGGTCTGGGGCAGCCTCGGGCGACACCTGAGCCTTGCTGAGCCTCAGATCCTTCCATCAAATGGGGATCGTGCTCCCACCCCCAGAGCGCTGCTGAGAGGCAGGAACACCAGGGTGGGGTTTGACCCAGGCCCTGCTTCCGGGAGCCTCTGAGCACTGCTCCCCCTCCCCGCCTCCCTCCACCCCGATCCAGGTGGGTTTCTGGGCGAGCTGCACCCCAAGCACCGAGGAGGAGAGGTGAGCTGCAGGTTCTTCTCGGCAGCTCGGGGCCCCGCTCAGAGACACTGAGTCGGAATCACAGATAACCATCGGGGACCTCTCCCCTCCACCCCCACCCTGCCCCCCAGCGGTGCCCAGTTGCTCCCTGGGGCACAGCCCTCCCACCCCCACGCTGACTCGGGTGGGCAGCCCCCCACTCAGCTCCCTTCACTCTGGTGGGTAAGAGCTCAGCACCGCAGCCCCTCCATGATAAGTGGGCCAAGTCCTCATCCCTTTGGCACCGACAGAGGCCCACCCAGCAAGCCACCTGTTTGTTACTTTGTATCATCTATTTTAATTACTCTTGATTTTTTTATTCCACATGTGATACATGACCATAGAAAAATTAGAAAATAAAGCCAGTCAAGAGAGGACCAAAACATGACTTCTGATCCTCCCCTCTGCCCTCGAAATAATGACTAGGAACCTTTCCGGATATTGAAACTTTGGGTGCGCTGCTTTGCCAATATTTTCCCTTCACGCGTGTTTATCGAAGATTCGGATCGTGTTGTGTGGTCGTTTCTTTAAAATTGCTTTTCCTGAGGCCAATGGTAAAAATAGATAAGAAAAAATGATCTCACCAGCTCCATAATGCATTTAGTTGGAGATTTTGGTTTTCAGTGTTTTGCCATTATATTAGCCCTGCGGTGACACTGTGACATATGACCCTCACCTCTGGGATTATTTCCTGGCATAAAAGTCCACCCAGAGACTTCTGGGTCAGAAGATGTGTGGACTAGGAAAGCTGTTGATTTTTGTTGCCAAGTCACCCTGCAGCGGCATCAAAGCAGCCCGCCTCCCCAGCGGCGGTCAGCTGGCAGAGGCGTCGGCCCGGGCGTGGGGTCCAGGGGCGCCCCCTGCAGGGCTTCCTCTGCTCCCCTCGCAGGCTCCACGCGAGATTCTACGAGCTGGCCCCCAACCTCGTCCCCATGGACTACAGGAAGAGCCCCATCGTCCACGTGCCCATGAACCTCATCATCCAGATGCCGGAGCTCCGGGTAGGTGGGGGGCTGCCCGTTGTCGTGACTGCGCGGCCCTGAGTGTGCCCTGAACCTCTCTGGGCCTCAGTTTCCTCACTTCACTGTGAATAACTGAGCTACGTGTGGGGCTCTAGGTCGGCGCTCACCTGCTTGTCCCTTATTTACTTACTTTTAGAGAGAGGAGAAGGGAAGAAGAGAGGGAGAGAAACATCAAAGTGTGGTTGCTTCTTGCACGCCCCCTACTGGGGACCTGGCCCACAATCCAGACATGTGCCCTGACTGGGAATCGAACTGGTGACTCTTTGATTAGCAGGGCCGTGTTCAATCCACTGAGCCACACCAGCCAAGGCCGCTTGCCACCTTGTGAAACAGCCAGTCTGCTGTCCTTCTCAGCCCTTCCTTGGCTTTTTCAGACAGTTTCCTCTCCTGCCTTGCTGGCTGCAGCTTCTCACGGCTGGGTCATCCTTGGCATCACTTCTGGATTTATCTTGCAAGGACTCCTCTGGGGATCTTGTCAAAACACCTACTCAGGCTCGGGAGGTCTGGGGACCCAAGGCTGTGTTTTTCTAGAAAGCTCCCAGGTGGGGCTGATACCTCTGGTCCTCGACCACATGTGTATTGGACATGAAGATGTCATTCATGACGTCCTCACCCGTAATGCACGTGAGGTGCCCCCTGCCAGCGAGGAAGCTTTGGGGGCACAAAAAGCAGTTGTGTGGGACTTCACAAAGAGGCCCTCGCCAGGCCTCGGATGTGTGACTCAGGGGTCCCCGCGTGATATCCACTGGGGCCTGTGCCCCAGTCGTGACCTCAGTACTGAGGGACGGTGAGGCCAGTTCCGGCCCTGCGCAGGCACCCAGCCTGGCCTGCAGAGGGGATCGAGCCCAGGCCCGCGGGCCCTCGGACACTCGGGTGGGAGGCACGTGGTTGTCTCCGAGCCTCCAGGAGGTGTCCCTGCGTGATCTGGGGTGAGGAGGGAGTTGGCGGCCTCGGGACTGGTCCAGGAGAATCCGGGAGCTGGGTGGTGGCCAGCCTGGGGCCTGCCATGCTCTCTGACTCTTGCTGCTTGTCCCGTCCAGTTATCCAGCCCTTTGGGGGTCCCACTTCTGCCTCCCGCTGCGCTGACCTGGTCCGGCCTGAGCTGAGGGCTGCCCCTGCTTGGGGACGCCCTCCCCTCTCACACACCAAGGCGGAGGCCGCCGCCGTGGGCTCTCCTGGACATTGGGCCTGCCCCCTGGCCCCGCCTCCCTGGAGCTCACCCTCCAGTGAGCACGCCCTGGCTCTGCCAAGTTCTCTGTGCTCACCTGGGTGACACAACGGCACCTAACACCCCAGTGAGGTCTCGCAGGGGCTGGCCTGCTGCACCCTCCACACTATAACTCCTCAGTCCTCCCCGAGCCCAGTTAAGTGGGTGCAAATGTCGTTCCCATCTTACAGATGGGGAAACTGAGGCCCCGGGGGGGGTCGAGTAGGTTGTAAGATGTCTGGCCCTGGGGTCCTCCCAGCTAACCCACCCCAGGGAGACTGTCGTGGTTCTGTGTCCAGGAGAATCCCTTCAAGGAAAGGATAGTGGAGTCCTTCTCCGAGGACGGCGAGGGGAACCTCACCTTCGATGACTTTGTGGACATGTTCTCCGTGCTCTGCGAGTCGGCTCCCCGAGACCTCAAGGCCAACTACGCCTTCAAGATCTACGGTGATGAGGGCCGGCAGGGGAGCGGCTGCTGGGGGCCTGTGCCACTATGGGGAGGGAGGGTGGGCACTCGGGTCAGCGGGCCATCCAGTTCCTGCTGGTTTCCACCCCGGGGGACGCCGGGGACACCAGGGAGACTTAGAAGAATGCCTGCCCAGCAGGGTGGCCATTGCCGGCAGTTGGTGCACAAGAGACCCCATGGGGCCCTCAGAGCAGAGGTGGGACCTGCCCCACCTCGGTGGGGAGGAGAGGGCCCACAGAGAGAGGTTTCAGTGGGGCCTGGGAGGACTGGGGTGGGCGGGGAGGTGGCGAGCGCCAGGCGGAGGGAGCAGCAGCCTACGAGGACCCAGGACATGGAATGTGCAGGCCCTGGCAAGGAGGTGGGGCTGTGTTGGGGGCATGCAGTGCCCCCTAGGGCCGGGCTGTGGGGTGCAATCAAGGAGTTTGGGCCTGGTGCCCAGGCCACTAGGGGCCACTGAGGTTTCAGGTGGGGAAGGGCAGCTCTGTGTTCTAGAAGGGTCTCAAGGCATCAGCTGAGGTCAGGGCTGGAGAGGAGGCCTCGGCCAAGTAGTGAGGCTCCCAGAGGTCCCCAGGCTGTGGGAGGTGAGCCACCTTTTCTCCTGCCAGCCCTGCCCTCCGGTCAATGCCCCACCCGCCACCAGAGGGCGCTGGCCACCGCAAAGCCCTGGTTGTTCCACAGCGGTGGGAGACGTCCAGCCTACTGGCGTCCAGTCCTCAAGACTGTCCTCAGACAGGGACACCGAGGCCCATGGAGGGGCTGAGCCCTGTCCTGGACCAGAGAGCCTCGAACAGACCTCCTGTCCCCGGGGGACTTTGGTCAGCCAGGCACCAGGGGCCCCGTTTTTCACACAGGGAGTTTCACGTTTATTTAGAGGACTTGGGTCTAGATGCATCTGTGCCTCCCCGTGTTTGCACGTCAGAGACAGAACCCACCCTGCCTGCCAGCCGTGGTCGCTGGTTCCCAAAAAGCTTCTTGAGTTCCTCCCGTCACCCCTCGGGCCCTGAACACCGAGGCCCTGCTTCTGGGTGGGGCCACTGTCTGCAGAGAGTGGCTCCCTGCTCGCCTGGGCTGGGGGCAGCCCTGGGGAGATGGGGTCCGCCCTCCAGCAAGGGCCGCCCCCTGCTGGACCCCAGTGTCCTCATGTGAAACGGACACAGGCGTCCCCCTCTCTCCAGCCTGTCAGCCAGCACAGGCCTGGGCAGGGCGGGCACCTGTCCGGGGTCTGGGCTCCGAGAGGCAACACTGACCACCAGGGGTGTGACCTCAGGGAGGATCAGGGATGTGAGCTCCTGTCCTTCCCATGCCTCCGTTTCTTCCTCTCTGTCCCAGGGTTCTCACTGCATCTACTGGGTCGCTTTGCTGTGCAAACTCAGGGAGCTGGCGCCTGCCGCACTCACGTTGGCAGTTAGGCAGGCCCTTTGTCACCGTCGTGGTGTCAGGGTTGGAGCAGCGGCAGGGGCTGCGTGGAGGGAGCCCTCGTGTCCAGGCAGCAGGCCCCACCGGGCGGTGAGGTTGGAGCCGCAGCGTGAGGGCCGAGCAGCGGTCTGCTGGACTGATGGGTGTGAAGGGCCCCTCAGGCAGACGCAGTGTCCAGTGTGAGGACCCGGTTGTCAGGCGGGGACGAGTTTGGAAGGGCGCTGAGGCTGCTGTGGCGGGCCTGTTGCCCAGCATAATGACGCAGCATTCCCAGCACTGTGCACCCTGGCCAGCCATGGGCTCCCCCTGAGGGGTGCCTGCGTCTCCTGGCCGGCGAGTCTGGCTGGGGGCCGGGGCAACAGGGTGCCGTTGAGGACATGTGGCCTCAGCGTCACGTCAGAATCCTCCGAGCAGCCCTCTGGCCTGGATTCAGGCACTCGGCTTCTCTGGGCCTGGGGTCCTGAACTTTGCAAGGACCACTTTTACAGGGTCACTGTGGGGTGAAGACCCAAGTTCCCAGGAAGCCTCACGTGTGGGTGGTTGACACGCCTCAGTCGCACCCAGTGGGGGGCGAGAATCCAGTGTCCCCAGCGCGCGTTGGCGGGGCGGGGTGGGGGGGTACACGGCGTGCCCAGCCCGGTCTGAGTGTCCCCGCCTCCCCTGCAGACTTCAACACCGACAACTTCATTTGCAAGGAGGACCTGGAGATGACGCTGGCCCGGCTCACCAAGTCGGAGCTGGAGGAGGACGAGGTGGTGCTGGTGTGTGACAAGGTCATCGAGGAGGCCGACCTGGACGGCGACGGCAAGCTGGGCTTCTCTGACTTCGAGGACATGATCGCCAAGGCCCCCGACTTCCTCAGGTGCTGCCCAGGGCTACCTGTGGGCTGCCCAGTGCCAGGCCTCCTGGGGCCCCCCGGGGACTGAGGCCCTGTCACCATGCAGAGCCGCAGTGGGGTCCCAGGCCACACAGGTGGTGTCCCAGCCCAGCTCCCGTCCCCTGCAGGGCCAGCCCTCAGGCTAAGGGTGAGCGGCAGGCAGCCTGGGGTGGATCCCAGGGCACTGCCGGGCCTGCAGGCCACCCTTCCCTCGGTGTTAATAACACGAGCCCTGCGTCCTCCCAGAGAACTGTCCAGGCCCTGACCCCCTCTTCTCATTCTCTTTCTAGCACCTTCCACGTCCGGATCTGAGGCCCCGGCGGAGGTTGCGGGCCCCCAAGCCCACCATCCTCCTCTGCTGTCAACACGGTTGTGACCTCCAAGCTCCCAGCACGGGAGCTGCAGCCTCCAGGGTTTACACCCACGGACAATATCTTGGCCCTTGAGCAAAAAAAAAGCCTTAACCAGGGAAGGGGGAACGGGAGGAGCAGGGCCCTTCCCAGGCCCCCCTGGGGTTCAGCCCCAGGACACACAGCCCCTTAGAGGCCTTCCCTCGGTTCCCCGAGGTCCCTGGCACCCAGTTTTCCTGCCTCAGAAATGTCCCCGTGGGAGGGGAAGGCAGAGCACCTGACGGGGCGTGTGCGGGGGCGGGGAGACAGAGGTGGGGCGCCGATTTGACCACGTGTGGGAAACATACCCTGGTCACCCGGGGCAGAGAGAAAGAAAGAGGATGAGATTTTAATGGGTCGTGCAATCCCGCTGCACCCCCACAGCTGGGCTGCAGTCTGTGCCCCCCCCACCCCCCGTCCCCATCTCCCCATCCTTCCCCATCCTTCCCCACGTGACGCTGTGCAAACATGAGGCCCAAAGGGCCCTGTCCCTGCATCGGCCGCTCCCAGCCCTGCGGGGCCCTCCCTCGTGAGTGCTGCGCGCGCATCTGCGACCTGCGGCTAGTAAAACCCTCCGCTGTCCCTGTGCCGTCTGCGTCAACCCGCGTCGTGTGTATCAATCCGCGTCGTGTGTATCAATCCGCGTCGGGACCTTCGCCCCTCATCCTGGGAGCCCGCCGCTCTCAGCGCTTCTCCCCTGGACTAGGCCGTGCCTCCCGCTTCGGCGCCAACTCTCACTTGAGGGCTGGAGCCAAGGTGCCTCTGTGCCCAAGTCCTCGAGGGAGCCCCGCGCAGGACGGACGTCGCGTGAGAGATGTGCGCGCTTCCTCCGTGATGGTCGTCCTTCCGGTGACTGCGTGTGGGGCTCAGCGCGTGCTGGGCGCAGGCTGGTGGCCACGCTCGGTCCTGACAGCGCCCCCGGGAGGCACCCGTTTCTCAGCGGGAGGGGCTGCGCGGCGCCGAGGCCACCCAGGGGACAGTTCCCACGAGTGTGGAGCGACCGTGCTCTGCCCAGGATGGGCGGGGAGGTCACCAGGCGGCTGGTCAGTGTGTCTTCCGCCTCCCGTGTCTGGGGCAGTGGGCAGGAGCAGCCGGCTGAGGGTCACCCTCAGGGAGGCGGGGAAGTGGGTGGGACAGAACAAAGGGTCCCAGGGGAGGGGGGTCCAGGCAGAGCCACCCGACCTGAGGGACCACCGCCCTGCCAGGCCAAGCGCCCTGTGCCCTGAGCCTCCTGGGAAGCCGGGGCCGCCTGTCGGCCTGGGTCTCAGGGGAGGAGTGTGAGTCCTCCTCCTCTGGCCGGCTGGGTGGGAGGCCCCTCCCGCTGTGTCTCTGAGCCTGCTTCCGGCCCAGGCTGGGGGTGTCTGAGGGGTGCCTTCGGGTGAGTCAGGGCCTCTCAGGGACCCCTGCAAGGCCGGGCACCGGGAGACCCGCGGTGTGAGCTGCTGGAAGCCAGGCCGTCAGGGTCTGGGCTTCTTGTCCGCAAAGAACAGCCTCCGGAACCTGTCAGGCTGCAAGGAGGGAGAGGACGCTGGAGCCTGGGGTCCCCAGGGTGCCCGAACCCCAGCACTGGTGTCTCAGGCGGAATGGGGCGGGCTAGACATGGTGCCCCCAGGGACCAGGGAGGGCGGGGGCTTTGTGGCCAGGGGCAGCGCAGTCCTGGGTGCGGCTGCTGTGGTTCTTAGGCCTTTTCCCCAGCTGGATCAGCCTACGGGTCCAGGGGAGGGAGGGCCTCCTGGGCACAGCCCCTGCCCCCCAGGGAGGGGCTGGCCGAGCTTCCCTGAAGGAAGCCTTCCAGCTGGAGCTGGTCAGGGCTGTCCCCACAGGGAGTGGACTCTGCCTGCTCGTCAGCCCTGGGTGTGGGTGGGGTGTGCTGGGGCCCAGGGCCGAGGAACCGCCCCCCCCCTTTCTTATCAGAAGTGGTCAGAACAGCAGCTCTGTTCCCCGAGGGCTCTCCGGGCTGTGTCCCAAGCTTGTGAAGGTGCCCTATCCTCTCGGCCAGCGGTTTTCAACCTTGTGCATCTCACGGCCCAGAAACTAATTACGGAAATTCTGCAGCACACCAAAAGATAGATTTTTTTTTTTTTTTGCTGCTCTGACAAAGAAAGATGGGTATAATTTTGATTCATTTACCCCGGATGGCTCTTGTTCTGCTGGCTGTTGTCATTCTTTTACTTGACCATCTGGGGGAAAAGAGGGCAGTGCCCCCCACTAAGCAGGTATCACATGGTTTAACCATTCTGGCCACACAGCATGTGAAAATCGCTGCTCCAGGGGCAGCCGTCCAGCACACAGCCTGAGGACCACCGCCTCCTATAGGCGAGGGACAGGAGTACCTGATGCCCCGTTAAATTTCAGTCTCGGATAGGTGATGAACAGTTGCAGTATTTGGAGTGTACTCATGCTAAAAAAAGATTACTTGTTCTCTACAATTCAAATTAGCTGGGTAGCCCGCCATGCATCTTGCTCAGCCTGGTGGCCTTCTCTTGCTGGGGAAACTCTTGCCCAAAGCCACGTGGCCAGGGAGTGGCTGAGCCGTGACAAGTCAGACATGGAGCCCCTTCTCCTCCTCTCAGGGGCTCAGAGACCCCCGAAGTGGCCAAGAGTGAGGGTCAGGGACCCCGGTGTGCTGTAGAGAAAGACCTCAGAAGGGCCTGGAAGCGAACATCTGACACCCAAGCCTAACAGCGGCCTCCCCCACCACCCCCGGGCCCATGTGAGCGCTGGAAAGTTCTGGGCACCTGTGGTGCGGTGGGCGGCCTGCCCTGCCCCTGCCCGAGAGCCACGGATCCCGTCCACCACCAGCTGCTCCCTGGGAGCTGCCCGCCACCCACTCCCCACGGAGCCCACCTTCTGTGTCTGTCCAGGCTCCTTGCTCTTGGCTGCTGGGGTGTGTGGGTGGGTGTCACCAGGCTCTGGGAGCCCCCGGGCCCCTTTGACGCTGGCGTAGGCACAGTCTGTGGACGACCCCGACAGCCTGCCTCGGGGGAGAGCAGCCCGAGGAAGCAGGAGTCTGGCAGGGCCGCCCCAGCAGACCGGGACCTCCTCGTAGGTGCTGCCGCCTTGGCCCTGCACATCGTTGGGCTCCTGCAGGAGCAGCGCATAGGTGTCCTCAGTGCTGTCTGGGGAGCGGGGCTGGGCGCTATGGCTGGGCCTCAGGGACCCTGGACTCCGGGGGGCAGCTGAGGGTCCTCCGGCCTCAGAACACGGGGCCAGGAGGAGGCCCCAGGAAGTCGGAGAGACGGTCAAGCCCTGGTCTGGGCTGCCCCCGGAGAGGGCCGGCCCTGGGCTGTCAGGCCTGTCCTGGCTTCCATCTGAGAGTCTGCTCAGGGCCCCCTTGCCAGGGATGCCGGCCTGGCTGCCAGCTGGAAGTGGCCCGTGCCTGCCAGACACCTCTGTGCCTGGGTCTGGCGGTGCCTGCTGCTTCTTCCTCGGTTTTGCATATACAATGTTGGGGCCGCCAGGAGACTGGTCCAGATGGGAGGCACCCCTCTCGGGGAGGGGCAGCATCCCGGTGGGGGGCTGTGGAGAGAGGGACGGAGGACCTGTAAAGGTCACCGCCACTAAGAGGCTGATGGGTAAACTGAAGCATTCTCAGACCACCTGCAAACCTGTCTCGGCCTCAGTTTACCTGACAGGTACAGGGCTGGTTGTATGAGTTCGGGACCCAGCCAGCAACCATGTAGGACTCTGGGAATGGTCTTTGTCTTGATTCAAAGTCTGGCGTCACCAACTGTCCCTACCACCCGAGCTCCTCCTGCCTCTGGGGTGGTCCCCTGCCCCCCCAGAGCCCCTAGAACCCAGGCCCTTCAGAATGCCCCCCAGATTAATCTTTTGCACCAGCTGGGTGCCAGGCTGTGTCCTGGGTGCCAAGGACTCAGTGGTCGGGGGTGAGCACGTGCCAGCCTGAGAGGTGGCCATGTATTGCCCGTCACCGTCACACAGGCCGCCGCCATCAGCCTGTGATAACACATCAGCAGGCAACGTGCTGTTGGGTGCCCACTGGAAACGAGGAGGAACAAAGGGTCACGGGGGACAGAGCCACCGGCAGGAAAGGGGGCGTTTTGACAGCTTGGGTGGCTTTGCCAGGAGATGGCCTGGGAGCCAGGAACGGACGGACGCAGTGAGAGCGAACCGTGCAGGCGGCTGCTGGGAGGAGAGTTCAGGCAGAGGGACAGGAAGAGCCAAAGCCTGCAGGGGGGAGGGGCAGAGGCCTGCAGGGAGGAGGTGGAGGCGGAGCAGGGGGGCGCCAGGTGAGGAGCTGGGGGAGATCTCCGCAGGTGTTGTGTATGCGGGGGTCTGACAGCGAGAGGAGCCTCTGAGCCCCGCCCCCCACGCTCCCCCAGCCACAGCAGATCCCCCCCATCCTGCGCCCACTCTCTCATGCCAGCCTCATGGGAGCCTCAGGAATGCAAATGGGGCTCCCAGAGACCGGGCACTTGCCCCACACCACCCAGCGAGACAGGCCACACCAACAAGAGGTGGCCCCATTTGGCTTGCCACAGGCGGGCACAGCAAGCCACCCAGGGGTCCCCTGTGGGCCTCGTGTGTGGGCGCACCCAGAACCCAGAATCCTCACCTCCACACTCTGCTCCTCAGACAGGTTCCCGGGGCTCCCGTCCTGGCTCCTCCCCTTCATGTGCAGGAAGGAGACCTGGGGCTTCGGAGGGGGGCGGGGGCTGCCGGCCTTGTCTGGGGCCCCCGCGGGGGGCGCTGTGGCAGGCGGCTCCTCCAGGCCCAGGTTGGTCTGCCGGAGGCCCCGAGTGATGGCGTCGTAGAGATCGCCGTCCTCCGGCTGGGGACAGGGGAGACACGGCGGAGTGAGGGCCCACGCACGCCCAGCCTCCAGCGCCTGCTGGAGACTGCTTGCTAGTTAGGGAATGAATCACGCCCGCCGGGTCCCGAGCTTGGGGAAGACACTGCCTCAGTCTCCCCTTTTCAAAAGGGGGCCATGATCCCCCATGGTGAGTGCCCCCTAGCAGCAGCAAATAGGGAAGAAAAGGCTGGTGGCCCTGAAGGGTGTGCACCCCAGACCTGGGCAGCCGACCCGCCACCCTCCCCCCAGCCGGCGAAGAGGGGTGCCTACCCGGGGGCAGGCGGCAGCCAGGGTCTCCCCGAAGGGCTCCAGCTGCACCGCCTGGTAGTAGCGCACGAGCTCGGCCAGGCTGCCGTGGCTCTGGGTGTCCCCGGAGACCAGGTAGCGCCGGTTTCGGAGCTGGGTGATGACGAAATGCCGGCATCGGTCGCTGCCCCTGCAACACGACAGGCTGGCCTGACCCTTCGGGTTCCAGGCAGCCCCTGCGGAGTGGGTGCTGCAGGGCCTGGGAGCTGGGCTCCTGGGACGCCCGAAGGGGACAGGAGAGGGCTGGGCTGGGCCAGGGACAGACCCCGCTTGCTGCCAAATTTAAAGGGCACCACAAAATTCAGCCGTCGAGGCTTGTAACCCAGTATTTTAGAAGATGGAAATACTGAAAAAGCCAGGACAAACGAAATATCAAAGTCTTACGGATGAGATCCGGCCCCGCGCTTGCCTGAGGCAGCCTGACCCGCCCCACTGTGGACCCTGCCCTGCCGTGAAGGGGGCGTCCAGCCCCCGCCCCCACCGCACCTGCCCTCCTCCCAGGCATCCCTCCAAGTCGGCGGCTCTGCTGACACCTTGGTCTCCCACGCCTCTGGCCCTTTGCACAGGCAGTCCTGTCTGTTGGAAAAGCTTCCTAAACCCCAGGCACGCCTCCTTCTCTGCCTAGCAACTTGCTGTTCTTCCTTGTATCCTGGCCTAGAGGTTCCCCTGGGAAGCCTTTCCCTGTCTGTCCCCCCCGCCCCCCGCCCCATCATCCCCGTGGCCAGCTGGCACTCCATCCGAGCACGCGCCAGTGCTGCTGAGGAACTGTCCCATGACCATGGAGAGTGAGGGAGTGAGGGGGCCAGGGCCCAGCGAAAGCCAGGCAGTGCGGCCTGGGGGGGGGCCCTCTGCTTACCTGCATAGTGCGTCCTCCCTTACCTGTAGGACAAGATGTAGCCGGTGGCCCGGTCACTGAGGCGGATGAGGAAGGAGCCAAGAGCTTTGTCCCCGAGCAGCTGCTCGGCCTCCCTGGGCAGAGCACATGCCCTGAGTTGGGCTTGGGAGTTCCCAAGGGGGGGGCGCTAGCACGGTGCCGGCCCCGCAGACCTGCACGTGCTTGTTCAGCCCTTCCGCGGGTCTGGGGTCTGTCCAGGCCCAGCTCAGCAGCTCCAGGTTGGAGTCCTAAAGCCACATGTCCCCCCCTGCAACCCCCTGGGTACAGCCTCCCTGACCCTGGCCACCCAGCAGAAGGGCCATGCAGCAAGAAGGAATCCACATAGCTGGAGATTCCAGGTTTGCAAGGTCCCCACTTAGTGTGGGACGTGCTCTACATGACATTTCCTGTTATATCCTCCTTGTCAGCCCCAGGCCACTGTGTCTGCGGCTGTTTCTAAGTGGTGCCAAGTATTTTGCAGGCACGGTGGAAAATTCCAGTTGCCACCTGGTTTGGCAGCCCGCAGCCAGGGCATGCCTGAGGCACGGACTCACTCCCCACGGATGCAGAGTGCCTGCTGTACACAGGGCCAGGGACAGAGCTGGCAGCACCCAGTGCAAGCAACATGGGCAGCCCTTGCTTACAGAGGGAAAACTTCCGAGATAGTGAGAGCAGAGCGTGAAAACCAAGAACAGGCCTCTGGCAGGGAGGTCTGGTGAGATGGCTTGCAGAGCCAGCCCGATCGGAGTGCGAACCCCGCAGCTTGGCGTTTGCTCCTGGGGTCACTGTGCGCCCAGGGGACAGTCCCCACTTCACATGGTGCTGACAGTGCTGGACCTGCACACTGAGTGTCACGGTCCCCTAGGTGCTCATCAAGTCCTTCAGAGCTGGCCTGAACACACCCTGCTCCCAGTGCTCCTTCGTGTCCTGGCCTACATGCAGAGCGGGGGCCGGTGCCCCAGGGAACGGGGTGCTGCTCCCCACTCTGTCCCCCTGCCCACCGCCTCCCAGGGTCCCTGCCCAGCTCGGGGAGAGGGCAGGAGCCAGGCTTGTCCCAGAGTTCCCAGGCCACCTTCTCCGCCCCAAAGGGCTGCGGGCAGGGGCGGCCTTACTTGCGGGTGATGAATCCGTGAAACCAGGGGGGCAGGGCTCCGTGGTGCAGAATGAGGGGGGCCTGCGTCTCCATGAACCACCTCAGGGCCAGCTCCTGCAGCTGGGCCACGGCCTGGCTGTCCCCCGCCTCCTCGGGCCCCTGACCCCCACAGAGCTGCGTCGGGCTGCCCTCCATTCTGGCGAGCGCTGAGGTGGGGGCCGAGCCCCGAGCCCGCACAGCTCTATATCTGCGTGTGCGCCCACTCATTTGCCTGAGCCCTGAAACGCCCCAACCGTCAGCAGCACACAGCAGCCCTATTGTCACCTCTGGGCCGGCTGTTGGCACTGGAGGGAGGGGCACCTCTGCATCCAGAGAGGAAGGGAGGCCATCCCTGACCTGCGTCCAGCAGGGACATTGCCCCACTGGGCTTGGCCTTCTTCCCAAGGACCAGCCCTGACTGAAGTCCAGGGCACGGCTACTGTCCACAGAACCTTGGACTTAAATTCTGCATATGGCTCCCTCATGGAAGCCGCTTGCATTTTGGTAAAGTTCTGTGCCGATTAATTCCTCCTCCTTTCTATTTTCTTTTTTTTTTTAAGATTTTATTTATTTACTTCTCAAGAAAGGAGGGAGGAAGAGAGGGAGAGAAAGATCAGCATGTGGTTGCCTCTCACACACCTCCTACCGGGGACCTGGCCCACAACTACAGGCCAACACCCAATCCACTGAGCTACACCAGCCAGGGCTCAAGATCCATTTTCTAGACTCCTCCAGGGTCATTATGGGGTGTAAGCATGGCAGCATAATGGTCAAGAACGACAAAACATCTATGTAAGTGCAAAGAAGACAGAACCGCTCTCGATATAACACGAGTTTGGCCGTGGCTGCCCCAGGGCGGCCGTGACTGGCCAGGCTGAGCAGCGGCCGGTGCGGTGACGTCCTGCCTGGTTCCCGGTCCCAGGTGCGGGTGACATGGGTGCATTCGCTGTGGGAAAGTCCATGGAGCCCCGTGCTCGTGGTTTATGCACTCTTCTAGGCACGTGTTCCGCTTCAAGAACACAGTTCACTTCGAAAGTTAATGACGGTGCGACAGCCCTATTTCACTGGTTCCGGTTCTGGCAGACCAGCTAAATGACGTCGGGCAGATGGCAGCTTTTCTGGGCCTCAGCGTCTTTGTCTCTGAAACAGGGACAATAATACCACCTGTTGTTAGATCCTTAGTGTTTGGAAAAACAACGGATTAGAATTGGCTGTTACCTGGATGATGAGGATGATAAGGATGGCCTGGAACAATTCTGGGTTCTCCCCAGCCAGTAACCATTGTCATCATTACTGTCCCCTGTCATCCCGCCTTCACCATGGTCCTTCTGGGTCCCACACGCCCGTGTGCGGTGCATGCGGTTCAGCGGGAAGACCAGGCTGTGAAGTGCCGGGACCTCAGCCTGGGCAGCGCCTTCCCCGTCCGAGGGTCGAGCGCCACACCTGGACCCGGGGAATGGAGCGCCCCCTGCCTCACAGGCGGATGAGCGAAGTTCTGCAGGTCCCACTGTCCACACAGGCGCACAGCAAGCGTTTCCGGAGGGCCAGCCCCAGTGAAGGTCACTTTTATGGTCAGTTAATGTCCAGCCTTGACAGGGAGGTGTGGGCTCGAGCCCGGAGCCGCGGGAGGGGGCCGTCCATCGTGCAGTTGCTCCTGGGTGTTTCTGCCACGGTTACGAGCCGGGCATGCACTGGGGTCAGAATGGAAATCCCAGTCCCACGCTGGGAAGGACTGCGATTTCCCGAAGGGGAGCAGGCGGGTGGGTGGTCCACATCTTTGCCTTCTCTGACCTCTGACTGACGTCCACACGTCCTTCCAAGGCGGGTGCAGGGAGCAAACCTTAGGGTTCGCTGCCCCTGTGGCTCCGCCACCAACACAAATAGCAGAGATTTCTGTGTCCCGTGACAGCTGTTGAGGATGTCTGGAGACATCATTTTTGCTCGTGATTACCTCAAAATTACAGTAATTAGACCCAATGCTGGATCTTGTTATTGAACATGGAAATAAGAAGCACATCATAGCAGTGTACCACAAATATTTTAACAACTGCCTTTCAGTATAATTTATTGTCCTCTGGTATTCTAAGCATTTCGTTTTGCACATATAAAAACCCTATTCTGAGAAGTCCGTGGCTTTACCAGACCCCAAACTGGTCGACAGCGCGAAAGAGGCCGAGGGAGCCGGGGTCAGACCCAGAGTCGGGCGGCTGCCGGCACGCAGTCCTGGAAGTATTCAAATACAAAGAAATGCGCAGCTGCAATTTTCCAATGACGTGTTCTCTTTCCACCTTCCTCTTAGGTCGGACGCTTTTATGAGCGGGACCTGGGCGTTTGCATACGGAGACAAAGGTTTTGTGTACCGGAGGGGAGGCAGAGCCCAGGACACCCTGGGACAGGGGTGACGATGATTCTGAAGTCAGGCAAATAAACGGGGGTCTAAATTCACACTCGGAAGAAAGGTGGGTGAGGAGGGTGAAGCCCCGACCTGGGGCATCATGGGAGCTCCGTGCAGGGCGGGTGGGGTGACTCTCACAGGGTGCTCTGCTTCCCACTGTTCAGCTCATCCGTGTGGTTGCCCACGGCAGGGGGCAGGGGGGCGGCGGGCCCAGGGACTGGGAACCCAGGAGCAGCGCCCGCCCTCCTCCACCCTGAGGTGCCTTGAGGTGTAGACGAGGAGTTAAGAGGCTTCGGGCTCTGGAGCCCAATTAATGGGCTTAGGGTTCCATGGTGTCTCTGTTTGTTTGGAACAACGGGGAGGAGAGAGAAGGACCCACCTGGCACGGTTTGGGAGCTGGGAGCCGGTCCAGGCAGAGCAGTGGCTGGGAGCCGGTGTACACAGGCAGTAGACATCCGCGCAGCTCCAAGTCACCCCCGGGCTGGGGCGTCCCCGGCACCCAGAGCCTCTGCCTGCCTCAGCCAAACCTCCTCGTCGTGGGTTCTCCTCCCTCGAGGTTATGCTTCTCCTCTAGGGCCAGTAGATGATCGTGGACTGTCCACAAGGGGCTCTCTCTGAGGGTGCTCAGTCTGGCTCACCCTCAGACGAGGAAACCCAGTGTCTCCAGAAAGATGCTCACAGGCTGTGTCTCCGGGGCTCTTTTGGTGTGGCCCCTCGATGTCACGGAGGGAGCTCGTCCTGTCATCTCTACAGCGTGGCTGCTGGGGTGGGACAGCGATGCCCAGCGAGGCCCCTTCCAGCCACCCTCCCCACAAAGCTCAGCCCCTTTTGTGTTATTCCCAGGACAAGGGCCAGGCCCTGGGAACTTGACAAGGGCCTGTAGCACATGTCTGAGACCTGAAAACAAACCGAAACCCCAAAACTCATGCCAGTAATGGCTCCGAAATCTAAAACTACAGAAGTGCAAAATCAGCCCAGGCTGATGTGGCTCGGTGGATTGAACCCCACCTGCGAACCAAAGGGTTCAATTCCCAGTCTGCGGCACATGCCTGGGGTTCGGGCCAGGTCCCCAGTAGGGGGCGCTGGAGTGCAACCATACGTTGCTGTTTCTCTCCCTTTCTCCTGCCCTTCCCCTCTCTCTAAAAGTAAATAAAATCTCTTTAAAAATTACAAAATCAAAATGGACAAATGTATAAGGAACTATCCACACAACACTGTACTGCATCAGCTTCATGTAGTGTTGGTAAAACCTCCATCATATCTGAAAATGGTCTGGAGGTCGGGTCGTCTTTCCTCCCAAGAACCCCGAAGTGTGCGGGGGAGTGGAGGGGAGTGCCCTGCCCGCCCTCCGCCCTCCAGCCCCCAGGGGCATCCAGGCCTCTACCTGTCCCAGCCCTGGTTCCCTGGTCCCAGGGGGTGGAAACTTGGTCAGCACGTCAGGTGCCTTCGCTCTAAGAAAGAGACTCACGAGGTGTGTAGATTTGCCTGCCAATTTGGTAGGGAAATGAGGCCTCCTGCAGCCGCCCCCCCCCCGCCGGCACATCCTGGCAGGGGGGTCTCCTGGCGGGGAATCTCTCGGAAACTCCGCCACCTGCCTACGCTGAGAGCTTCTTGCTGCGGGAGTCAGGTCCAGTCCTTTTCTGGGCACCACCAACGGCCAGCAGAGCCGAAGAGCAGGGCCGCGCTGTTTGTGGACTGAATTAGCTACCAGGCTACTGCACAGCAGGAACTGTGAGAAGAGTCCTTTGCACTTACTGTCTTGTGTAAGCCTCACAACCGCTCTAGGAGGTAACTAATTTTTTTTTTGGCCATTTCACAGGTGGGAAAACTGAGGCACAGGGAGGCCAGGTAATCACACGGCCCCTCCCTTATTTTGGAACCCTCCCCTGACCTCCAGAGCCCTGGGCACCCCCCTCCCCGCCCATCAGTAAGGGTGGGAAGTGTGGAAAGCAAGGTCACTGCCGAAATTTCCCCTTTTCAGTGAACAGCAGCCACTTCCCTGGGTTGGCCACTTCCTTCTGGTCACTGGGTTTGCTAGAGGACTGAGGGGGCAGGCCCTTGGGCACCAAGCATACCCACATTAGTCACAGGAGGGGCCCAGCTGGGCTGTGTCAAGCTGGCCCCTGACCACAGGATGCTGACATTGAACCCGAGACACCTTGAGGACTAAAACATGCCCAGGAGCCATTGAAGAAGGGATCCAAGGAATTCAGAGCCACCAGAGGCAGCCCCCAAATTTCCACATAGGAGGGCCTTGAGGGGGCATGACCTGGTCAGAAACAGTGGGGGGCAGGGGGGGAGACTGAAGCTGCATTTGTTCAGAATTTTACATAAATCATAAAAATTGTCCAAACTGACGGTGGGGTGGGGAGTTATCAAGGAGATAAAGCCCCGTGGTGGAGCCCCTTCCAGCTCACGGCCCCAGGAATGAGGGGCGAGACATCGCAGGTGGGTTCATGAGGTCGCCAGCATCCCAGGGTGGCCTGGCAGAGGCCTGCGTGTTGATGAGACTTGGTCCTGGAGGCCATGTGAGGCCTGGGAAGGCTTGGGCCACTCTCCTGGGCGCCAGCAGTGGGCAGACACTCAAGGCCCCCCATCCTCTTTATTTTGCTTTATTGGGAAACCACCCTAATTGCCCTTTGAGGTTTGTGCGAGTTCATAAGTTAACATTTGAAGCACTGGCTTTAAGAGTAAACCTTATTCAAATGTCACCACAGCATTTACGCAACACAGTCTGTCTTCCGGTTTCGCGCGTGTATTCTTTGCCCCTTCCTCGACGACCGTCTCGGGGACACGACGGCGACCTGCAGTGTCGGCACCTGCACGCGGCGTGCAGAGCAGACGGCCTTCGCTCGGCGAACGTTTGTTGAAGTCAATGCAGAAATGAGGTCCGGAGAGGCGGGACGTGCGTCGGTTTTCATTCATGCATTCTACGAATATTTACCGAGCACCCGCCCACTCGGCGCCGGCAATAGGCTCTCATTTGTGCTCTTCGAGTCTGTGAACCTGGCGGCGTCAGACGCTTACACCTACGCTTTTGCACCCACGGTGCCCAGAGGCCGCTCCGCTGGGTTTCGAGCCCCGCACACTCCCGTGCACCCACACTCCTAAGGCAGCAGGGCAGCAGTGCCGCACGAGAGGGCAGCGAGGACTGGGGTGGCCCGCCCGAAGGAGCCTGCCGGGCTGCGGAGCCGCGCGGTTTGGCCCTGTCCGGGGACTCGGGCGTAGGTAGGGGGCGGCGTGGGTGGGAGCGAGCTGACTACAAGTCCCAGGCGGCTCTGCGCGCGCAAGTCGTGGGCGTGGCGGGGGCGGCACTACAAGTCCCAGGCCGCCTTGCGCGCGAGGGCGGGGCGGGTAGGAGGGTGCGGCGGCGGCGGCGGCGGCGGCAGCGCGGGCGAGCGCCCGGCAGGGCTGCAGTGGGCGCGCGGCGGGCGATGCCGGGGCCCGGGGCCCGCGCTGATGAGGGCGGCGGCGGCGGCGGCGGCGAGGGCGCGGGGCCAGGGCGGGAGCCCGCGCGGCTGTGCGGCTACCTGCAGAAGCTGTCCGGCAAGGGCCCGCTGCGGGGCTACCGCAACCGCTGGTTCGTGTTTGACGCGCGGCGCTGCTACCTCTACTACTTCAAGAGTCCGCAGGACGCGCTGCCGCTCGGCCACCTGGACATAGCCGACGCCTGCTTCAGCTACCAGGGTCCCGACGAGGCGGCGGAGCCCGGCGCCGAGCCGCCCGCGCACTTCCAGGTGCACAGCGGGGGCGCCGTCACGGTGCTCAAGGTGGGAGCCCGCACCCTAGAGCCCGTCCCCTGGAACCCACTCCCGGGCCCGCACCCTAGAGCCCGCTCCGCAGCCTGCACCCCAGAAGCACCCTCTCAGCCCGCACCCAAGACCCGCACCTCAGCCTAGGGCCACCCCCGCCCCTTGGCCGACCCCCAGCCCCTCGCAGGTCTGCCCATTGAACCCTCCCCTCCCATCTTCCTTTCTGTGAGGCCCGGGTGCCTTCTTTTCCCCCCTTCGACCCCAAACTCTGTCCCCGTGTCCCATCTCATGCCCTTTGCCTGGTGGCCACTGTCCTCTGACCTCCCTGACCTGGCTCTGTGTTCCCGTCTCCCTGGCGTGTCCTCTGCCCCTCTCTCCGTGGCCCAGGACTGCAGATTTGTTGACCTTGGCTGAGTGATCCCACGCCCCTGTGCCTCAGCTGTCTCTTCCCAGGACGGGGAGGAACAGCAGTCAAATCCGTGAGACTGCCGAGGGAGTGTTCCTGCCATCAGTGTCTTGCACAGAGTGGGGCAGGGACCTCCCCAGCTGAGGTCACACAGCCAGCCCGGGCAGAGCTGTTTTCTTGCTCCTTATTTTGGCTGGAAGTTGGGACTGGGCTGCTGCTACCAGCATGAGGTCTTCCTGGTTGTCGGAAGGAAGGAGGTGTGGGAGATAATGCAGAAATGTGGGTTGCAGTCTGCAGGCCGCAGGCCGCAGTCGAGGTGCAGAGGCCTCCCCGGCCCTGGGGCCCCATCACTGAGCTCAGGGCCCCAGCCCCGGCCTCTCCCGCCCTTGCCGCCTGCCTGGTGGCTGCACGCCCCCGCCCCCTCCCTCACTCCTCTTTCTCATTTCTCCTGCGTGTTGTAAGCTGGGCTTTCCCCCAGAGCAGCAGGGCTGGGCTGGGACGAATGACAACTTTCTGGAAAGCCGGCCAAGTGCAGCGCAGAGTACGCTGTGCCTGCCGCCTCGGCCCTGTGAGCACAGCACGCTTCCCGGAACCCCCGAGCCGCAGCCGCCGGGGCTGTTCCCCAGGGCGCTCCAGCAGACCCCCACATCCTGTCCCCGAGTGGGCGACGGCAGCCCGCTTCTGCAAAGGAAGCCACGCAGAGTGGCGGTTCTCCTGCGGCTTCCTTAGAGAGCGCTTGTGTGAACTTGGGCACGGCCCCCGCCAGGCTGCGTGGAGCGGGGCGTGCCACAGAGAGGCTTGTCCTCGCTGCACGTGGACGCTCCCCCCTGCTCAGCAGGGCCCTGTGGGCGGGCTGGCTGGCGAGAAGAGGAAACAGCCTCCGGCGTCAGATTTTCTCGGATGACTCTGGAGCCCGCTATCGGGTTTTCTGTGTAGGGTTTTTTGAATAGCGGAGTCGTCTGCGTACCCGGGGCCCTGAGTGCCGTGTGGGAAGCAAGTGTGGCCTTAGAGCGGCAGGAGCTGGAACCTGCAGCCCGAGCCTGCCTCGCGCACGTGCGGGTGGGGTCGTCCCGGGGTCCTCTGCTCAGTGGGGAATCGCACCTCCCCCTCAGGTGGCCGGAGGCATCCTGGTGGATGTTGTGGGAAGGGGCTGGCGGGGAGCACACACGACCAGGCAGCCGTGGGAAACTGTAGTAGGGTCGGGGGCACGCACGAGCTGTCCTCACGTCATGGAATAGGGGGCAGCAGGTGCACACGAAGGACTGAGAGCTGTGGGTGTGAACACGAAGGACTCACACACGCAAACCTGGCAGGAAAGACGTACTTGCTGACTGAGGCATTGCATGCAGAAGGACACCGGTTCTGCGGGGGTTCCAGAGGTGGTGTGACTGTCTCCAGCGTGAGGGCGGTGGGAGGCCTGCGTGCGGGGGTGAGCCCTGGGCCGGGGCAGCGGTTCCCGCTTGGAAAGAGAGAGCGAGTGCGTGAGAACGGGCGGCTCCCAGTGTGTCTCTAGGACTGGGTGGTGGGCACCCCAGTGTTCATGATGTTATTGGGTCCATCTTCGTGTGTGCAGAATATTACTTTAAAAAAAGATTTTTTAATTTCCTCTGTAGAGAGAGAGGAAGGGAGAGAAAGAGAGGAAAACTTTGCTTGGTTGCCTCTTGTACACCCCCAACCAGGGACCTGCCCCACAACCCAGGCACAGGCCCTGACCGGGAATTGAACCGGTGACCTTTCGGTTTGGAGGATGCTGCCCAACCCACTGAGCCACACTCATCAGGGCCAGAGTATTTCTTTTTAAAAAAGAAACCGATTTCCAGGTGGGTTGCTGACTGGGCAGGACTATTCTGACACGTACAGTTGGCTCAGTGACAGACTGGGACAGCGTGCCCGAGGCCAGCGGTCTGCTTTCTGAAAACAATGGGACTGGGAGCGGAAGAAGCCCCCCCCCCGCCCCGAAGGAAGGGGGGCGTCCAGATGTGGCGTCTCAACGTGGGGGTGTGTTTTAGGAAGGGTGAATTTTAGTGTTCAGCAGTTCCTTTTGAGAAGAACACTCTCGTGGTGGTAAAAGTGGACGTTAGCCATTGATGTTCCTTCTCGCCGTTCAGCCCCAGCGGCTGATTCACCCTCCACGTCAGGGTTCCCCTGCCGCGGGGGACCCTGATTTCCCAGGGGCCTTGCGGGTGGTGGGGGGCAGGTCCTGCTGAGACTTCAGCTAGCTGCACATAACTGTGCAGACACCATTTCCTTTGACAGATGGGCTCAGGAGAGAAGAAAAGAAAAATCAGCAATTTGCTTCTGGTGCGAGCATATGTTTCTCATTTTCTAGCGTCTTTCCGCCTTCTCTGGAGAAGCTGTGGTTTTGTTGAGCTTCTACGAGACATTTTACTGCCTGACTCCCAGCGTAAGCTGATACTGGAATTTCTTGGTCAGCTTCTCTGTTGCTGAGCCCGGGGACCTGGTTCAGCGCCTGATTTCACAGAGGAGGGGCTGGACGCCAGGGGTGGGGGCGGGACAGGCCTGCGGTCGTGAACCCAGGCCCAGACCCTCTCTGCAAGGACCGACTCGGGACCAGGGGGCGTCCGAAATGCAGCGTGTGTGTGGGTGTGCTCATGCGTTGTCCGTGCTGACACATCTGCCTTCTGGGACTCTGGAGACCCGTGGCTGCCAAGATAAGGCGCGGTGGTTTCTCTGCCACTGCGTTTGCCTTGTGCTTTCTGTGCCTCGAGAAAGCACCGGGGCCGTCTTACCAGTGTGTGTAGGAAGGACGGCCGCAACCGTCAGGCAGAGGCCGAAGCTTCCTGTGGGGGTGCAGGGGGCGGAAGGCCTCCTTCTCGCTGAGCTCTGCTGAGGCCTGAGGCGCGGGGGCGGTCGTGGGCTGCCCACGTTTAGCTCGCAGCTGGCGGCTCTGCCCCGCCGGGTCTGCGCAGTGTCTTCCTGGGGGCTCCGGTACTCTGCCGGACATGTGTGTCGGTCCCCGAGTCACGCGTGACCGAACAGCCACGCGTGCACTCCTATGCTGAAGCCATGTGTGTGCTTCCACACTCGGCCGTGCCGAAGCCACCCTCGGCCTCAACGGCGAGCACTTGTCGGCCTGGCTGACCGTGGTGCGTTCGGCACAGGCCGGGTGTGGCGGGCCGGGCTCCTGGGGCGCACGGGACATCTGCTCCGGGGTCTGGACGGACGGCCTGTGACGGAGGTGGGACTTTTCCTGGCCGCCGTGGCTTCCCCATCGGGGGGTTCTGCGAGGGCCCTACAGTGACACGTGCGACCTCGCTGCCTCGCTCGCAGTCCTCGCTGTGGCGCAGCCCCCGAGGACGGCGGTGTGTGTGTGTGTGTGTGTGTGTGTCCTTGTCGTCCAGCCCCGGGCCTGGCGCAGAGCGGGCGCCCAGTAGGCGCTTGCTTGTTGAACCGGGGAGCCCAGCGTGCACCGGTTTTGGTGTGAGTGGCGACCCCCTAGAAGCAGTCAGCCAGAACTCTCGAGTGCATCGGACGCCATTGTCACCCCGCTCCATGGAGGTGGCCGCCGCTCAGGGAACGGCATCGAGGGTCCAAGAGGGACGACCTACCCCCATTTCGGCCGGTCCTGCGCCTTCAGGTCTCTGGTATTTGGTGCCGCAGCCTGGGCTCCAGGCACACGCACACCGGTGGGCGGGTGTGCCGTGGAAAGGGCCCCGCGGCGAGCGGCGTTCCTCCTGCACAAGGTGCCGTCTCGGCGGCCCCGCTGTGGCCGTCACACAGCCTCAGAGTGGGGTCGCTGTGTTCCCAGCATTTGTATTTACGGGCGCCGAAATTTCACCTAAGTTTCATGTGTCACAAACTATTGATCTTTCGATTTTCTTTTTTTTTTTTTACAAGCACTTAACAATGAGAAGGCCACTCTTGGGTGTAGGTGTATAAAGTAGACGCTGGGCTCGAGGTGGCCTCACTGGGGCTCCTGCGGGGCGGGCAGTGCGCCTGCGGCGGGGGCCTTGGTGTGCGCAGCACCGTCCCCCAGAGAGGAGAACCTGCCCCTGAGGCAGGACTCTCAGACTGGGCCCCGGCGGGCAGCTTTGATCGGGGTCATCGGTTCTCTTAGAGGTTCCTGCAGGAGCGGGGGCCCAGTGACGTGTGAGGGTGACCCCATGCTCCCAGGCCCAGCCCTCGGAGGGCGACCTCGGCCTGGAAATGGCGAGGTGGGCGGCAGGGCTGCCTCTGTTGAGGGAGCGTCCGCTGTGTCGCCTCCCGGAGAGCGCGGTGGCAGCGGGAACACTGCGGGCCGCGGTCATTGTGGCCTGTGCGGGGCCCTCCGCCGAGGGCACGCCCAGCGAGGAGCAGCGGGCCCAGCAGCACTGGGAACCCCAGGTCAGCCGGAGATCGGGGCTGGGGTTGCCCCGGAAGTGGGTCGGCCCGTGCAGCGGAGGGTCGTCCGGGGCTGCAGTCCCAGCAGAACCGGAGCTCCCTGTGGGCCGAGGTCTGGCCGCGGCTCAGCACCGTGCCCCTGTTCTCAGAGCACAGCCAGGGCGCGTTAGGTGCGCCCAGAGACCACTCTGGGCCCTGGTGTCCTCACAGCGGCCGGGGCGGGGCGGTGTGGGCTGCACTCTCCTGCGTGATTCATTCAGCAAATGCATTG